AGAGAGAGAGAGAGAGAGAGAGAGAGAGAGAGAGAGAGAGAGAGAGAGAGAGAGAGAGAGAGAGGAGCCCCTTCGGTTCCCCTTCTCGCACCCAGCCCATCGGTAGGAATATGCTTTTGCAAGAGTGCTCTAATTAATGAAAATTTATGTGTATGTAAATGTTGTATATGTTACAATACACAAACTTTTCAATAATTGGAACACTATTGCAGCAACATATTCCTGATACCAAATTAAGTAAAAAAGTCCTGTATTACATTTCCCTCTGACAAACAGTTATCGAGATATCATAAGCTAAACATTGAGAAAGTTATAAATTTTCTCTTGAATATCTCAAAAAGTATTAGGCAAATTAAAAAATGTTTCGAACAAAGTTGTTCATATTAATTAGTAGAATAAGATAGTATAATAAACAATAGGGAGTTCCATTTTTAAAAATGACAGCGACCTCCATATAATCATAAAAAATTTATTTTTTCGAAAATTAATTTTTTTATTATATAGCCCTTTTAGAACCGTATAACTTTTGTCTGAAACACTTTTCTCTCAAATGTTCTATTTCCGAAAAAAGGGCTGTACGGGTGGTCTGAATCACCCCGTATACATATACAGAGTGGTCAATTTAAGGAGGGAATATTTTTCAATAAGTCGACCTAACTGGCAAGAAGTGATCTTTATTTGGTTCACAACGTTTCGACCCTTTAATCAGGTCCTTTTCGTGTTCTACAAACAATCAGAAATAATTGTGCTGTTATGAATAAATATGAAATGAAATGAAAAGGAAAAATGAAATGTCAATTTTTTTCCTAGTATGATCAAGGTGAAAGTACCTATAGTTGTCGAGGTATCGCGATTTTCTTAACCGAAAATAGAGTGAGTGCATGAGTCTGTGGTTGCAGATTCATCTGGTCAAACCTATAATTTTGTGATTTTAGGAGTAATAATAATGTAGTTTTTTTGGAGTTATGGTACTTACTATATAAGTGTGTGTGAAGAGGGTTCAGACTCTTGGACTCACGTGTTTCGGTAGTCATTGGATTGTCTATCATGGTGTCTCTCTTTGGCGTTTCACAGGAGGCAACCGTGTAGTTTCGCAAGTCGAATAAGACTGATCAGTATGACAACATTTTACAAGGTGAAAGCGTACGTTAAATAGACTTAATAACTCTATCGTATATTTGATTTAGAATTTCCGTGTCCTTCTGTAAATTCATTGTGTTGTTTTGTTTTTTTTTATGAAGAACATTTCGGCTATCTCGCGTTTTCTTGTGGAGCGTTCACTGTGTAAAATTTTTGTTTCTGACCACTGAAACTCGTGGTCATTGTTTGATTGGTGCTTACTGATCACGGAATGATTGCTTTCATGTTTTTTTATGTCGTTGTTATGTTTGTTAATTCGTGTCTTTAAATGGCAGTTTATCACTGTGCAATGGTATTGGTCAAACGATTGACTAACGACGCAGTAATTTGAATTCAGGTATGAGTTTCCAGTTGATTTGTCTTCAATCAATTTCAACTAAATGTATCGTTCTGAAGACTAAATTTAATATAGTTGATTTGCGATAGGCTTTCAGCATTGTTTTGTTGTAATTTGCAATTTGCGATTTCAGATCACTTGATAAGGGCCCAAACTCGGGGCCGAAACGTTGTAATCGGTTTTTGAATAAAAAAATTGGTCAGCATAGATCGTTAAATCTTATGAATTTTGGTTCGTAATGAGCTTCAGGCAATTCATACCTAGGAATTGCTGCTCGCGCTTTACGCCACTTACGCTCTACAGGGTGAGTCACAACATTTGTGACAGGGCTCGTGAGAAGGTAGAACGGATCGAGATGAACAGAAAAGTCCTGTACCATTTGCAATTTTGCAATAGTTAACGAGTAATTAATTATCAAAAATCGTCGTCTTTGCCCTGCCCACCGTCCAATTCGAGCGCGTGGCGAGATGTGACCGCCCGGTGATCGATATTGCCAGGCGAGGGGGGGGGGGGGGCAG